GGTGAATGGCAGAAGCAAGTGACTCAGGACCCCAAAATTTAGGCCCTTAGGTTGCCATACTTGCAGATTTCTAGGCAACAGGGTATCATATCAACTTAAGTGGTTAAATGTTATGTAAAGGGGCAGTTCTTTCCTCCCATCAGGAGAGAGAGGTCTCCAACTGGCCCCAGCTTTTATCTCTTCTTTATTTTCTCATCCTCTCACCATCCTTCCCCCAGGAACATCTACATCTATGGAGGTGAAGTCCACACATCTGAATCTCAAGCACTTGATTGTAGCCAACTCCATGATCGTTCTGTTTAAGTCATTTCCTCAGACAACGACAGCTTTTGGCCTGAAACATTTCCTCAAGGATTTTGGCTGTAAAATTCTTTTATGTATTCAGAGGGTGGGCAGAGGTGTGTCAGTTGGTACCATCTGCCTCTTGAGTGTTTTCCAGACCATCATGATTAGCCGCATGAGCTCCTGTTGGATGGATTTTAAAGTAAAAGCCCCAGTACACACTGGTGTCTCCACTGCCTTCTGCTGGTTGTAAATTCATTTTTCCCAAGTATGTGTTTGCCAAACAGAATAGCCAAAACATGACAAAGAAAAGAAATTTGAGATACTATTCTATTGTAGGTGGTGACAAAGTCATGGAATCATTGTATGTAGTATTATTTATATTCCCTGAAGTTTTATTTTCTGTGCTCATAATCGAAGGTAGCAGTTCTATGATTTTCATTCTCTGAGGGATAAACAATGAGTTCAGTATAGTCACAGCAATGTTCCTCCTAGGTCCTCCCCTGAGCCCAGAGCCACTCAAAACATCTTAGTTCTAGTATGTAACTGAATTTTTATACCCTCTCTTGCATATTAAATATTTGTGTTGCTTTCTTATATAATCCCAGTTGGTGCTTGGTGAATATCACTGTCCTTTCTATGTTTGCCCAGTGACAGCCCCTTTATTATGAGCCCAGGACCCCTCTGTACCCAGGTTCTGCTTTGTTTGAGTAAGGAATACAAAAATCCCATAATGTTATCATGAGTATATAAATTTTATATTTTCCAAAATGTGGAGTTATTTAATTGCTTGTCACCCTGAAAACATCAGCACTGAGACTTATAGAAGAGCCATTTGTGAGTTAAAACAATGTATGCTGGTATTTTTCTAACCAGTTTGAAAGTGGGCTCTACATGGGCACACTAAGGGTGAATAAAGAAAGATTTTCTTAGTCAGATATGTAGCATCTTGTTAATAGTAATCTTAATACACTTTAATTGAGACAAATTAAATAAATTGAATCCCATGCCTTCAAAGTCTGTTTTAATCAGAGTGACTGACAAAGTAGGGTATGTGGGGAAAGTTTACCAGAAGTAAATAGAATGAAGAAATGAATGGTGAGTATTGTTCAAAGAGTTCTCTGTCGGTTTCTCAAACACATTTATGTCAAATGGAAAGACTGTTCTTGACCATCTTTTTTGTGTATTTGAAATTAACAATAAAAGCTTTGGAAAATAGAGATAGTGTCAACTTCTGAAACAATGGAGAGAATTGGTTACTGAGTGGGGAATATAGATACCTCCCTCTTGGTTGAAGGGTATGGCAGCTTTGTTAGCAATTCTCTTTAAAATATTGATTTTGTTATGCTCAGAGATCCTCAGATAGGATGCAATCTCAGTGCACATACAGCATTCACTTTGGCCACAACACACCGTCCAGATTGGAACAGTTGTAGGAAAGGGAATCTGGTACAATCACAGTGTTCATTCTATCTGCTTTGCCATGAATTAAAAAGTCCTATTTTCTAATCTAGGCACTCTACATCTTTTGCCATGATCTATAGCAGGGCATCTGAATAACCTGACTTTCACAGATCCTGAAGATAACCTAAACTATATCTCAAAAGAAAACATGTAGATAGGTCCTTGTCTAACATATTAAAGAGATGAATTTAGAACTCTCCTAATCAGAATAAAGTTAAGTATTAAAACAAGGTTGTATTCTTAGGAGAACAAGTGGGTCTCCATGACAGTGGAGAAGAATGTAAGTTTCTAGGCAGGAGGGGACATGGGAAATATCAGAGCATGGCCAGCAGGTCAACACTGTAGAGGCAGAGGGGGTCAGATGAGAGCCCCATGGGCTCAGCATCTTAGAGAAACTTTGCAAAGAAAACTGTTAGGATATTAATTTGTTTGTCCCACACTGTCCTATTACCTGTCTCTTTCTGCCTCTTTTACAATGTCTTGTCTTATACAGTTAACAAATGTCACAGAGGGTTTACTGTGGACATGGATTCTTTTGGAAATATTTAAGGTAGTTTCAGTTTTATATCTTTGTTTATTTTAGCCAAAGCCTAATTTTATGCACAGTACTCAATTTTATGAATGAGTACAATGGAGATCTGAAATAATAAAGTTCTACTGGCCTGTGAAAGTGATAGGGGTAAGAGAAAGTTTTTCATGGTTAAAAACTAGACCCTACTACTAGTTATACTATGTGTGGAATAAATAGGCCTACCAAAGAATATCTTTCATGCAAAGAGTAGATGGAGATGAAATAAAGCAAGGTCCCAAAGGAGCAGAATGTTGGGGTTCATCCTATAGCATTGGAACCTGCCACACTGAGTAGTGCATGTGTGTTCATGCATGTGTGCGTGCGTGCATGTAATATGGTAACCCTTCCTCATCCATGGTCCCGTTTTAAGAACCCTAGCTGACGCCTGTAACTGTCCAGTACCAATCCCTAGATATACTATTTTATCTAAAAAATATGTACATACCTAAGATAGAGTTTAACTTATAAGTTAGGCACAAGAATATTACCAGAATTAATAGTAAAACACAACAATGTTAATGATATACCATAATAAAAGTGATAAAGGACTAGGAGTCAAATTTCCCATGGAGTCTACTGTTGACTACAGGTAACTAGGATAATGAAATTGTGGTTTGTGAGTATTCAGGCTACTGTACAATTTGGATTTTTGTTGGTTTGTTCTCTGTAGTTCTGAGGCCTAACTTGAAGCTGGTAATTTTCTCTTTTGAAGTGCCAATTAAATCCACACCGCCAGCCTTAAGAGCTTTGGGACACTGTATCCTGCTCTAATCCTGCTTCTAACTCCTCAGCTGTCTGGTAGCCATGAAAGCAACTACTGAAGCTTCACTATCAGTGAAATAAGCACTGTGGCAGCCTTGGAAGGGCTCAGTTAGCTATGGATCACCCCAAAGGCTTCATCACCTCCAGAGAACTGTTACACTTTAACCTGATGGTTTACTAAAAAGCTCAGTTCTCTTGGTTTTCTCATTTGGACATGCCTGAGAACGTGATCTGAGTCCTGATGGATACGGATTACAAGGTGCCACAGGAACAAAGGGAGTGACGGCAATGCATGGTAACAGGCAGAAGCAGGTGAAGGGTCAGTGGCAGGTAGGAGATTAAAAAGCATGGCATGGAAAAGGGATACAAATGATGCAGGCTAACGTCGGATGATGATGGATCTCAACAGATACAGAATACAGGTGAAGGAGACAGAGCCTGGAAGGAGACAGACAAGGGCAGGAAGAAAAGAATGAATAGAGGAAAATGTAAAGAGATGAGGATATTAAAAGTAAAGGACTACCCAGAGATACAGCTCAGAGGCACAGCACGTCTGGCAAGGGCAAGGTTCTGAGTTCGATTACCAATACCGGGAAAAAAAAAATAGAAAAATGGGTTAAAGAGCCAGCAAGGACACTACAGTGCTATGATTGTAACTGAGAAAAGTTCAACTTCTCCTGCTGCTTGGTAAGGCCAATGGCTGGAGACCAGAGTGACGGTGGAAGAAAATTATTCTGTAGCTGAGGAATGGAGGAGCAGAATCTTTGCTCAAAAACAAGTTCCTAACTCTGGAGATTTGTGGAGTTATAAATATTATGCAGGAAAAATGAGGGGTTAGATGAATAGAGAGGAAGAATATTCATGTCTTTTCTGGGAATAGAAGGAAACCAGGCAGCAACTCAGGTTCCAGATCTTTTACCTCTTTTTATGGTCTGATGTTTCCCCTCAAGACTGTTGGTCAGCATCTTTAGCCCCAAAACTAAGGCTGCAAAACAGATGCACTGTGAATACAGAGATGCCATATTTTTCCTTGTTCCAGCCATCCTATCGGACAATTTCAAGCCAGAGAGAAGAGTTGGTGTTTTCAGCAAAAGTGGATCTCAAGTGCCTGAAAAGTAACCTGGGCAATCAACATCATTATAACATAGCAGAAGTATTATTTTCAGCAATACCAGAGGGAGGATGGCAATGCATTGCCATGATGTGTGACCCCAAGTAAGTGATTTTCAAGTCCAATGAAGCTAGAGGGTTTATTTACCCCTTAGTAACTCATGGGAAAATGTGTGGGGCATACATTTGGTTCATGAAGAACTTGAGCATGCCTATAGTTTCAGCATTGTAGTGTTTAAGTGTTGGGGACCATGGGATACAGGATAATATTTTACTGTAACAAGGGACCTAACTGAGCACACCAGACATCACCTTTGGAAAGCAGCATGAGCATCCCTGCCCATTATCTGACTCCCTATCCCATCTCCATATAGGTACAGAAGCAGTAGCAGGTGATGAGTGATAGTACTCTTTTCCATATGCTAGGCTCTTGCTGGACATAGCCTTTCTGGTACAATGGTCCTGCTCTGCTCACTCTATCTCTTTGTCTTGAAAATGTAAATAGCTCCCTCTGCCTTCTCCATCATCTAATTCAGGGTGCAGCTACAGACAGCTGCCAATGTACACTACCACAATGGGAAGCTTTTTTGTAGCAGTCACTGTGGCCTGGACTTTGGTAACTTTGAAGATCAGTAGCAGTGCGATGGCCCAGGCACAGATTTGCAAATTGTAGCAATGTGCTTTTGCTTGGAGAAGGGGAAGGGAAGGAGGAGCACAGAGGTGATGGTAGTTGCAAGTGCCCATTATCAGGTTTAGAAAATCGCAATTTATAGTTGAAAGTCGTTTTTTTCTTGCATGAATAAAGGTTGAATGTTATCAAATATGTTCATTTATTGACACAATAGTGTGATTTTCTTTATTTTATGTGGTCATATTGTGAATTACAGTGAAGTAACCAAGAGAGTCCCTCTGGCCTTTTATCTGTTTATACCCTTGAAGTCACTGACTGCCCAGCTGCCCATAACTAAAGCCACAATTGTCCAACGACCGAACCCAAAGAAACTCCCAAACATCTCTCATAAAGGACCTTCACCCAGATCTGTGCTCAGAATCAGGCTCATCACATTATGAGCTTCTGGAGACCCTATCAGCTACCACTTCCACTTCCAAAATGGTGTCACTTCCAGTACTCCACGTGGGGGGCTCTCTTCCTGTGGCTATAATCACTGAGCATAAGGGCAGGACTCATTCCTGTTTCTGTTATTTGCAGGCAGGTCCTAGGCACTAACCCTTCAGGGTGTGACCGAATCAAGCAGCCTTAAAGCCTGCTATAAGGCTCTGCACAAGGAGAGCCTTCCTGTACAAGAGAAGGCTCTGTCCTTCCCTTGTACTGCTTTAAAGTCATGAACTTATCCAGGGTCAACATGAAATGGCAAACTTTCTATTCAGTCTAAAGGGCCATGTGGTCCTACCCTCCAGTCCCAGAGGTTTGGGCCTTGGAGGCTGGAGTGTGACTCAGGAATCTACATCCTTTGAAATATTGCATCTTTGAGGTAGAAGCCCAGTCAACCTTTAGAAACCCTACTGAGGTGTTCTATGCTTATGAATATTGATAGCTGCTTAGCACAGCTGGGTGTTACAGTCGGATGACTGCATCTATCTAGAAAACCTCTAGGGGAACAAGGGCACCATCCCTACCTACACACCAGTACCTATTTAGATATACTTCCTGGTATTATACAACCTATTTTACTGTGTCTCAGTCTCACTAAACAGTAAGGTTCATGAGAGATGTTCCTTTGCCTGCTCTCATCTACATATCCCCAGTGTGTAAAATGACTGTTTTATAGTTTTGCTCTATCTGAAAGAGTAAATTATCCAATGACTCAGTGTTCACTGAACTGAGCCAGTCACAGAATAGCAAAGTTTCCATTTATTTCTCTGTAACCAGAATGCCCTGTAATTTGGAAAATACACCGTTATGATACCTAATTAAAAAAATCTGGATAAAGGAAGGCTCATGGCTCCACTCCTGGGACAATGAGAAGGAATGAGGAGAAATTACATCGTGACTCAATAGATCACAGAAGAGCTGGGATATCTGAAAGGGCACGTCTGAAAGATAAGAATGCATCTTCCCCTCTGTTATATGCTCCTCCATTCTTAACACTAACGATCTTATTCTCCTTTGTATTTTTATCCTATAAACCTTCACACTTGCCAGGCAGGTGCATATGCTGCTGAGCTAAATTGCCAGCCCTTGCTCTGCCTCTTTTACATTAAGTCTAATCACACACAAAATGTTTGGGTGAGTTCTATTCTTTAGAAGTATTTCCCCTTCAATAATGAAAAAAAAAAAAGAAACCCATTCTGATTAGCCCCTTCGTTCATACATTCACTTTCCCAATCAATAGCATTTGATCTTCTGTGTGTTTGGAAATATAAAATCTTGCAATCTAGCACTCTTCAAACCTCATGAATGGACATGACAAATGCCCTGTTAACTCAGTGTTGCTGTGTGTGCTGTCCACTTTGGTAACCACTGCTCACATATAGCTACTGTGCACCTGGGATGTGGCTAGTGCAACTTAATAATTGCATTTCTCACTTTTTAGATAAAACTTTAAAAAATTAAGCTGTGAGCATTAAAAAAAAATAGCAACTTTGTGCTGTGAGGTGCTTAAATGTAACTGTAAGCAAATCTTCCTCATCCCTCAAAAATAATATGCTCCTTGAACAATATAAGCCAACAAAAATATCCCTTTGAACTAGTTAATCACATTCATTTCGCCGAATACAGATGTTTACATCCTCAAGTCAGACTGGCTGGAGTGTAATGAACCACTTAAACATGATCCAGCTAACTCAATGCTCTCTCCAAGAGATCTGGACTTTTCATTTTGTTCACCACTATAACCTAAGCTCCTTGAACAGGATTAGGTACAAAGAAAGCACTTGTCAAGTACCTGTTAGACGAACAACTGACCCAATGGAAAGTTTTCATAGGTGCCTTTACATAATGTAAAGTTTAAGTTTACCACACGTTCTGAATCCTTACCCTGGACTGCCAAAACAAAATTGACAAAGCCACGTTCCACATGATACAAGGCCAATCATCTTTTGCCAACCATCTTTCATGTCGTTTTTCATTCACAGCAATATTCCAGATACCAATTTAACCTTGGAATACTTATTTCCTACATTTAAATGAACTCAGACTTCCTTCAGACTCAGAACTCAGACTCACTTAACATGATAGCAATTCCGGTGTATGTATTTGGGGGTGAACATCGCCTGTGTAACAATGCAACATTCAGACAGCATGCATTTATCAGGCTTTCCTGGCCTCTGGATGGATACAGTTTCTCTTAGCATATACTTTGCAGCCATAAAAAGAACTAGAGATTTCTGCTCAATGCTTTTCCACACAGAAAGTATCTCAGCATTTTACTATGGGTTTTCTGGGACATAAAATAAGACATAATTGATGACTGAAGGCACAACCACATTCACTGCATTCATGAAGTTTCTCTCCTGTGTAAATTCTCTGCTGTCGCCTGCAGGCACACATCTGGCTACTGGCGGTCCCACAAGGACAACATTCCTATCTGCTAGAAGCTCACTGATGTTTACTGTAGTCTGTGAGGCCACTGAAGGCACTTGGGTAATCACTGTGCCAACAGGATTTATCTCCTGTATGACACCACCAGTACTTAACGAGCTGTCACTCTCAGGGGGTTTTTTCATGGAATCGCTCTGCTTTTCCCTTGTGTGTATTTTCTTGTGCTTCACCAGGCAAGACATGTATGCAAAAGCTTTCCCGCAGTCATTGCAGCCATAGGGTTTCTCCCCTGTGTGCGTTCTTTGATGAACAATGAGTTTTTGCTTTGTGGTGAAGGCTTTCTCACAATCACTGCACTCAAAGGGTTTCTCTCCTGTGTGAATCCTTTGATGTTTAATGAGACCAGACCTCTGTGAACAGGATTTCCCACATTCACTGCACACAAAGGGAGTCTTCCCGGTATGAAATCTCTGATGTGCTATGAGGCAGGTCTTCTGGATAAAGCCTTTCCCACATTCACTGCATATGTAAGGTTTCTCTCCTGTATGAATTCGCTGATGTACAATGAGATTTCCTTTCTGGATGAAACCCTTCCCACACTCACTGCATATATATTGTTTCTCTCCTGTATGGGTTTTCTGATGTATGTTGAGCCGTGATTTCTTAAGAAAGGCTTTGCCACATTCTGTGCATTCATAAGGTTTTTCTCCTGTATGAGTTCTGTGGTGTTCAGTGAGCATGAACTTTCGGGAGAAGGCTTTTCCACACAGATTACATCGATGTGGCTTCTCTCCAGTATGGATGACCTGGTGGTCAGTGAGCCAAGACTTCTTGATGAAGGCTTTCCCACACTCACTGCATACATGACGTTTCTCTGCTTTTTGAATTTTCTTATGCTTGGGGCTACTGAACTGAGATTTAATGCTGATGAGTTTTTGACTTGTAGGAAATGGAATTTTGGTATGAAATTTCTCACAGTTAGCAGAGACAAAGGAGTTCTCATTTCTAGGGAACTCTGCAAGATTCTTCACTTCATAGCTTTTGCTCTGGTTAACCAAAGTTAAATGTGATTTCATACTTTTTCCATCTATGTTAAATATGTCACAATTTTGTCTCAATAGATGGGTTTTGCTCTGTTGAACATTTTCATATGTATTATGTTCGTGCCACTTCTCCAACCTTTTCACTTTGCTTTCATTTTGTAAATACCTTGGCAAGTCATCGTCAGTTTTCCCGATGTCTACAAAAGAAAACAATATTCTCCATTACCTTTATTTGTAAGTGAGGCATTTTTTAAAAATGCCTTGATGACAGGTATCTCTTTAGTGACAATTCAGTGAGGGGGATATAAATATAATTCTACATTTAATGTTTCTCCCATAGGGGTAGAAAACAATTATATAACCATGAGTTAAGATAGAAACAAGGTTGGATAATTAATAATGAATACATACAGATTAGGGATGCTTTCAAAATAAAGTTTTTCAAAAATATGTAAAGATAATTCACAGTGAGCAGCAGAGCAGAGTTTGGGGAGCCACCTCACCCAAAGGGTTCCACCAATCCTCAGACTCACTAATGTGAACCAGGCCTGGTGCTAGTGTTGTGGATGCAAAAATATATTCCTCAAGTTCATGGAGCCTGCACATAGTTTGGTAAAACCCTTTACAATAGCAGACACAGGGACCAGCTGCAGATTCTAAATGGTGCTTTGAAGGAACACTGGAGGGAGTAATGCAGGAAATGAGCTGAAGACAGCTCACGGAGGGAGTTGCTGTTACAGTTAGCAGGGGGAGCGTGAAGAAAATGAGGAATCAGGGAATATTCTAAGGATCTGGCTTGAGTTACCAGGCAGCAGTGCTATTAAAAATGAAAGCCTATCTTCCTAACGGTTCATCTAACTAAATTCTAATTGCTCAAGGCTCTTCTATTCCTTATCTCTTTCCTTCATTCTGTGCGGCTCTTATCAGTCCAAATTTCTGCCTTTAAACCTGGCCTCTCCCTAATCAACTCGGGCACATCAGAACACAGGATAAAGTTATGCTGGGATGCTAAAAAGCACATCTAACTTAAAGTCCCTCAAAACTTCCCAATCCAGACCTCCTCTACATGTCATCTCCAACACCACAAACAGCAGTTCTACTTTTCTTGTTATTGTTGCCCAACGGGCCAGCATTAGTTTCATCCTGTTTCTTTTTCTCATACTATATTACCTCTATGGTGACTTCCATGTGTGCTCTAAAAATGGATCAGCACCCACTTTTCCCTTCGAATTAACAACCAATTAACTTCTGCATTTTGTAGCTCAAAAGTACCTTATACAAGAGTTCAAATCTTTCCTGACAGAGCAGCCCTGGTCCTGGCACATTCTGCTCTATGATGCTACCTATCTTTCCTCCTCTTAGAACAAAAGCTTTGAAAGCTTGGGGGTCTACTGTTCTACCTCACTGTTGTTGTCTTTCAACATATAGTAGGCTACCAAAAACTAATTTAAAGGAACAAATAAAAAAGTAATCTCATATTTGGAAAATAGTGGGGAGAATTTAGGAAACATGGAAATCTGTGTAAACATGATAAACTATCAAAGAAATATGAAACAATTTCAGTCTCCTAGTATGGATTAACAGAAATCAACATGATTAATAAAGTCAGGACAGGATAGGGAAAGTGACAATGCTAACACAATAGGGTTATCTACAGTGCACTAGAAAAAAGTTCAGAATTAGCAAAAACACAAACGAATCACACTGAAGTAGGTATGAGTTTTGACCTCGTTTAGACTGCACCTGAGAATGATGGGTATCCAAATTATGTTTTCTAGCTAAAAATTCAATAAGAACAGCTCGGTAAAAGAGGTGTGGAGAACATCTGAGTAATACAGTGAGTCCCTGACCTAAGAGTGAGTTCCATTCTGGGATAATTGCTTGTAAGTCAGATTCACTGGATAGCTTACAAAGTGAGTCTCACACAGTATACCTTGGAAAGTTCACTATGCAAATGTCTGTGAGTTGGAGACTTACTGTATTTAGATGTCTAGCACTTGGGACATTCAGAAATACAGGAACATCTAAACTTACAGGGATTTTCTTGGAGAGATGATAATTTTAGCTCCTTACAGATATTACAGACTCTATGATATTGCCTTATTTTAGGTGTCCTCAACTTAGAACAAAGGTTTTGTTGTTTCACTCACTGCTGTTATCATGCAGCACACACTCAACTACTACAAAAGAGTGTTTAAAGGAACAAAGCAAGGAAGTAATCACGTGTGTGGCACATATGTTAGAACATTTTTAATATGTTCCATATTAAGACAGCAAGGCAGACTTGGCATCAAGATCTGTAAGTCACAGAAAATGAAAGTCTGTATTAGGTAACATGAGAGAGGTCTTAGTGTGGGATGCTGCACCAGGAAACAAAGGCTCAACTTATTAGGCTGAAGAAAAGTTTGAAAGGGCACATTTGGGGAACAATGGAGTGAGGAGAGGAGATGCTCAGGAAGCCAAGGTACGCTGAGAGACCGAGCCATCTGGTGTATCATCAGAGCTTGAACCAGTTATATGGTGGAGCATCAAGACATAGCAGTCAGGACATAGGGAAGACTCAAAATTAATGAAAAAGAATCAGATCCCAGAATATAGAAAGTGGTGTATTTTTCTCTGAACTCCTTTAAAGTAAGAGTCTCCCTTAGAGAGAATCAGGTGAAGGCATTGTTTCCACATCCCCAAACCCTTCTCAGCCACCAGGCTCTCTCATTCCCACCTTCCCCAGCCCGTTCTCCCACTCACTGGAAGGGGTTCGGCAGTGGAGCTCATCCTCCACCATCCACGGTTCTCCACACAGCAACCTGGAGAGGGCATCCGGCTTGCTGGCTTGATACCCTGTCCAAGGGAAATGACAGATGTCTCAGTTAGGCTCATCAATCTGGCTGTGATCTGTCAACGTGGGAGAATGTTCTCTTTTAGGAACTACAGAATCTGCAAACTACAAGGATTCTCTCAGAAGAGAGCACATTACACTCTTCCTGGAGGCTGAAGAACAACCACGAATCTACTACTGAAGACACCACAGGTCCTCTAGGGCTTCTAGAAGCTGGGAAAGGAAAGGCCACTGTTGGGCACCCTCTGAGTGACATGGGAGAACTGTCCTCACCCACTGACACCAGGCTGCTGTAGTTCTCCAGCATCACGTCCCGGTACAGGTCCTTCTGAGCAGGGCCCAGGAGCTGCCACTCCTCCCGGGTGAAACTCACGGCCACGTCCTCCAGTGTCAGCAACACCTGAAACAATAATCTTGCTAATGAACTGATTTACTTGTGAGGGTAGGAAAGAAATGATTTATTTTTCTGTCCTTTCTACTCTATAGGTTGCATCTATAAACTTAGTCGCTGTTGTTTCATACCTTGTAGTCATAAAATCCTAAGAAAACATTCTGTAATTGTTCAATTACATTAACTATATTCACACATAAAATCATGAGTCATATAAAGATAGGGAATCTATTCTAAAATATCATTAATTAAACAGTTTCATGTTTGGGCAAGCATAATAACGTGTACTTACACAAACTAAGACAACTACAACCTCACTAAGCAGTATACCCTTACGGGACCACAATGGTATATGCAGTCTGCTGTTGACTGAAACAATGTTTTGCGTGTGTGTAAAGTCTAAGCCTTCCAAATGTCTGACTTATCAGCTTTGTATGAGAGGGGCCCCCAACTCCTTCTTTGAGCTTGATCATTTATTAGAACAGCCCACAGAACTCAGCAATGCTTCCCTTCCCAATGCCAACTCCCTTTATTAGGAACAGTATCATAGAAGAGAAGCTTAGGGTAAAAACTGGGGAAGTGAGGTGAGGATTCCATGTCATTCTCACAGTTTTTTTTTTTGTTTTGTTTTTGTTTTTAACCACTACTAATCCAGATGTTCATTTAGTGCTTTTATGGAGGCTTCCTTCCTTAGGCATGATTCACAAACTCAATTGGCCTTTGGTGATTAAGTCAGTCTCTGGCTCCTCTGTCTTCCTGGGGGTGAGGGTGGGGGTGAAGGCTGTAACTTTTTACTCACAGGGCTGGTTCCCCACACAACTAGCTTCTCTGCCTTAACAGCTTTCCAACAGTTTTTTCACTAAGATGAATTCAAGTTATAAATACCAAAGACCCTTCCATTCTTATGCCTCTGAGCAGTTTCAGAGCCAAGGACAAAAACACAAATATTATAGATATTTCTATTGTTCTTATCACAAAGGAAATTACTATGGTTTTAGGAGCTCTGGTTAGGAGTCTTATGTTGATTCATGTGTCAAGTTGAGAAGTCTGGAAGCTTAACTAAGTAACTTGTATACAGAGATAAGTTATTGTATACAGAATAAGTATAAAGTCTAGGGTATTCAGGACATGCCTTTATCGCTCTTGGATGTTGTTCACTGTGTCAACTTGAGAAGTTTAGAAGTTTAACTAAGCACCTCAGCAGGGGCCAGGGTCTTTGCCTTGTAAATCTCCTGACACTGTGCACAGGAGGGCACTGAGGTATTGTGAGTGTTACACTCACCCAGGGTGCGTGGCGTGCTTACACTATAAGGGAGGAAAAGAGGCTCACTCTCCTCCTCTCCTTTTTGATCTTCCTGCTTTTGCTGTCTTCTCCACTTTGAACTGTTACCCCTGTGCCATGCCACCCTGCCTTGGAGCTAGCTGATTATGGACTGACACCTCCACAAACTGAGCTAACTAAGCCTTTCCTGTCGTAACTGTGGGTGCTGGGTATTTTGTCTCAGCAACGAGAGAAACAGGAGCCACAGTCAAAGACCAAACTATTTCTTGTATCACAATATGGTACACCTGGGTGTGGTAATGCATGGCTGTAATCCGAACACTTGGAAGGTTGAGGCAAGAGGATCTCTGTGATTTCAAGGCCAGCCTGAACTACACAGTGAGATCCTGTCTCAAACAAACAAATCCTGATATGATTCAGTGGCCCAGCACTAATACTTTTAAACATTATTCTTCACACCCATAAAATGGTAGAGTTAATTACTCTGGACAGCAGTCAGAAATGTCCATTAAATATAAAATTAGTGCATTGATCGAGTGACTTCTCTGGAGCTACCTTCAAAAACACTGATACACCTTTGCCAAAAGCCATTAGCAAGGACATGCTCTGCTGCCCAGCGTGTAATAAGAAAGTCACCTAAATGCTCAACAAAAGGACAACAGTAAAACTATGGCATCCACACCATTTAGACAGCAGTTCAGCAGTTCAGCAGTTCAAAACAGCTCAAGATCAAGCTCAGAGGTAAAAAGGTTCAATACCACTCAGATAGAATGGGTTCCACCTTAATCTAAAAACTAAAGGAGCTAGAGGAATCCAAAATATACAAAGCATCCTGAGAAACGGAAAGGGGAGGAGGAATTGCCTAAAAAAGGAAGGCAGAGGACATTGTTAATAGTGTATCAGGATTTAAAAGCCACATTAGTGTTATCGCTCTGTTTAGTTTGATTTTATTTTGTTCCGGTCTGTCTACTCATATGAGATTTGAGGGCACAGACAGCTATTCCAAAAATAGCAGGATATACTACAGTAACTATCCTTAATTTCCTATTAACTTAAACTGAAGCCCTGTATTACATACATTGTCTCACTATGACTGATTTTACTTGAAGCTGGTTTGTTAGACTGCTGTTTTGTCTTGACTGATTTTATTTGAATTTGGTACGCTTGATAGTATCAAGTCTAAGAGTAGAGGCAACAACTCAAGATGACAAGATACCCATTCCGGTTTGATTATTAACTGCTTTTAAAGTACTACAATGTCTCCAGTGTTGTGTTTTTATTAAAATTGCTATGTAATGCTATGTTCAATTATATTATGTCTGATGATGTAGACAATTCTATTGAAAATAACAAGAGAAAGCATAGTAACTACTGTCGATCACATAATATTGTGGTTTTATATGTCTTTTTCGTTCATGTTTTTCTAGGACTTTGTTTTGTTGTCTTGTTTTGATCTGTTTTTCTCTATAATACAGAAAGGATAGATATACATGTACAGATTCACACATGGAGAATTTCTAAACAGTTTACGGGAACAGATTATATAATACACAATGTAATGAACAAATACTCTGAAGAAGCTTACACAGTAAGTTCAAAGTCAGCCTGAATTACATAGCAAGACTCTGTCTCAAACAAAATAAAGCAAAGCAAAGCAAAACGAAATGAAACCAAAAAAGAAATTAGGTGGGCATGTAATAACACCTAACAAAAATTCAGGCTCTTTAAAGGGAAAAAAAGCACAAAGATGTTAGTACGCTGATTCCTTTGAAAATAACAACAAAACAGTAATAAGAAATTATAGTTCCACTGAAAACACTGTAAAGCGTACCTAGTTCTTTCAAGGGAAGGATCATATATGAGTATATGGGTGTTCCACTTCATCCATGATGGTTAAGTTTTCCTATTTTTTTTATGTTAACTCTATGTTTTTGTTTATATATGTACCTTTTTCTTTTACAGTTAATGACAGATTAGCATATACCATCATAAGAAATAATACAGAGGGTAAGGAGTGTAGTTCTGTGATAAAAGTGTTTTCCTATCATGCATGAGGCCCTGGGTTCAATCCCTAGCACTGAAGAAAAAAAATAAGAAAAAATAAAGAAAGAAAATAAATAATTCAGGGACAATATATATGCCTTTCACCCAGTTTCTCACAAAGGCAATATCTTGCCTAATTAAAGGACAATAACATAATCAGGAAACTAGCCTTGATACAATCCTTACTCAGGTTTTCTACATTACACACTCATTTATATGCATTTTTGTGCAGCTTTATCCTACATGAAGCTCCATGTGGCTGTGAGCATAATCAGTACACAAAACAGTTCCAGCACAAGGGCCTTCTTTCATTATATTTAAAGCCATAGCCATATACCTCCAATCCTCCCTACCAAAATCCCTGGCCACCACTAATATGTGTAACTTTCAACAGTTTAAAACTGGGCATGCAGTGAATACCAATAATCCCGGCTACTTAGGAGGCTGAGGTATGAGGACTATAAGTTCCAGGCTAGGCTGGGCAACTTACTGAGATCTTGTCTCCAAATGAAAAAAGGGTTTGCAATATATAGTTCAGTGGTAGAATGCGTGCCCAGCATGTGTGAGGCCCTGAGACTCATCTCCAAAAAAAAAGTTACAGGATGCATGATGCCATTTAGGTACCATTCCTGAGAGGACAGGATTATAGATGGAGACTATACAAAAGTTACTGTCATTTCTCCAGAAAAAAAGAATATAGATGTATGATCCTTTTCATTTTTCAGATAAAATACTCAGATCTCTCCAAACCTCTAGTGGTGAAAAACCTATTTTAGTTTTTCAGGTAACACTATGAACTGATAGACATTTACAATTAATGTTTCCTAATAAACTGCAGTCATTGACTTTTGGATGCTCAAAAATACCATCTAAGGCCAATGTAGAGTTCCTTCAAACAGGCTTCTATTTTATTTTAATGCCTTTTTGAGACAAGGTCTCACAATGCAATTCAGATTGGCCTTGAGCTCACTTTGTAGCCCAGCCTGGTCTTGAACTTGCAACGATCCTCCTGCCTCAGCCTCCTGAGTGCTTGGATTAGGCTTCCAGTTTACGTTTCTCTGTTCTATGGAATGTGATTTTATTCATGCAAAAAAAAAGCCATATTGGATTTATGTCCATATATATATATATATATAGAGAGAGAGAGAGAGAGAGAGACAGAGACAGAGAGAGAGAGAGATCTAAATGTAGATAATGACAAAAAGTAGGGGTTACCAACCATTTCCAGAAGTGGGATAGGAAGGAAGTGTATGAATAAGAAAATTTATTTCTGCCATGTGTATTTTGTTATTTTACTGGGGCATAATCACAGACAGCCTACGTGGTTTCTAAGGTCCAGCTCCTGGAAATCAGTTTCAAAACTTTAACCTCCACTTGAAGAGATCAGAGCCATGGTTTACAGTCCAATTCCCCACTACAGATCATGGTTTTAGACTGCCCAATAGCTGAAGCTTGCAGGCTAACAAAGACTTTTCAATCAGACAGGACACTGACGGCCTAGAGGTCTCTCTGTAGTATCTTGAGGTAAAGGCTCTATATACTCTTCTTTACATAAGGTCAGCTCTTCACGACCCAACATAATAGGATGTTGAATTCTCTATCACGAAATGAAGGTTTAAAGCAAATCCTATGAATTCCAACAACCCAATCCCTTATCAAATGACAGCACAGCACCTTCATCTCCCTACATCCAAGTCCATATTCAAACACCAGCTCAGTTATCTGCTCACAGACAATCATTTCGCAATCCTTCCACTTTCCTGGGATGTTTAGGGTTTTTTCCCTGCATAAATCCAGATTGTGACAGGCTGAAGTCTATGTGCTTTAGCCCCTATATTTACTTGGTCTGCTCCACAGAGATGAAGGAGGAATCCACAAAGAAACAGCCACAGGAAACCTCCTGTATTTATAGAATGCTGCTCTTCAGGACTCCACTCACATTACCTCTAGGAAGATCAAGACAAGAAAGTTCGCAAGACCAAAGTGCCATGAAATACTGGCATCTCCTGCAGGAAATGACCTACAGTATTTTCTCAGAACCAGTGCATAGCATGTAGATTACAATTCTTTGGAGGGGTTGGCTGTCAGAGAAATCACATGCAAGCTGACAGCTCATATTACCAGTCATCTATGTCCCATTATTTGTAATTTACTGTAAATCCTATGAACAACCGTTCCTTATTCTACCATACCGGAAGACTGACTTAAAGACAGAAGTGACAGCATATATTTTTAGTCCCACCTGCTCTGGAGGCTGGAGATGGAGGATCACTTGAGCCCAGGAGTCCAAGGGCAGCCTGGGGAACATGGCAGGATTCCAGTCTCAAAATGCAACACAAAGCAAAAGCTAAAGATACAGTTTCTTTCTTTCTTTCTAGACCCTGCCTTTTTGAAATGCAAACTTTTCAGAATAATGGGAACAAAGAAAAGGAAAGACTGTAAAACAAATCCAAAGTTAAGTTACCTTGGCCTGGATCATTGTCTTCTTTTTTCAGAAAGTTGCTGACCACTTGGATGCTGTCTTGGTGTCTTCTGCTCGAATGCAGATACCCAAATCTTGTAAATTCCTCTTCCTTTATATGATGCTTGTGCTCCTGAGAAGTCAGGACCTGCGAGTTGGGAACAAAATTTAGTTTGGTATGTGTTTTCTGGGCCACGTACTGTCACTGTTCCTAAGCAGCATTCATTTGAACACAATGTTCTCAATACCACTAACTAGTGCTGGTTACAGTGCCCTAACGAATTATGTATCTCTTGCCAGTTAAGCCACAGGGCCTTCAAGGAGCAGATGTATGCCTTTTGCTCTGTAAAGTGTAGCTGGGATGACTACAAGGGAACATGGGAAATGAGTCCCAGCATAGTATCATGCCTAAGGCACAGGATACTTCAGATATATGAGTTGGGTTGGGGAAGAAAGTGGAACCCCAGTTAATGACATACACGAAAATCATTTGGGGCGCAATGGTCAACCTCAATTGGATAGGAAAAACAGTAAAACTTTAAGGAAATAGTATAAAAGGCTCTCTCAATGTTATTGGAATACAAAAAACTATTTTAAGCACTCTACGTAAAGCAAATGATATTGTACTAGAGAAACTATAGTAGTTTGGCATCATCTATTTTGACTTGAAATTATATACACCTATGATATAGTAATTTCTCTCTGAGATCTATATGTTAAATATGCTCCCCCCAATAATGGTATATTTGTACCAAACTAGGACATTTACAAAAATGTTCATAGCTGCATTATGTATAAAAATTCAGGCTGTAAGCAACAGAGATGTAATTAACAGGAAAAACTGCTATGTATCAAATAATGGAATGAGACAGAAAAACTTGACTAATTATAAAGAAACATCTAGGAGTACTTGATACAGATAGAAGAACAGTATTGTTGGAAAAAGTGAAGAGAACACTACTTGAATGATGGCAGTGGTCTATTTCTTTATGTGACAGGATTGCTTATATATATATATATATATATATATATATATATAATGTTTTCTCATTATTAAACTGTACATGTTTTTAAAATGTAAATTCAAAAGAAGTGAGATTTCAACAATACCCAATACTTGTTATCTTTAAGGAATCATAAAATATATAGATTTAGAGACAGATCAAATGAGAAATGATGCAAAAAAAAAAAAGAACATAAGGAATAAGAGATATGAGTCAGCTATTGTTTTTGTTTCGAAAGAACACTACCAACGTTTTACGTCATTAACTTTGAAATCCTGGTTGAACTCATAATTTTATGATCCTATCTTCAGGAGAGATGTTAACTCCAAGCAGTAAAGCTAGTGAATTTTATGGATGGGTAACAAAACAAGGAAGTTCTCTACCATTTTATTTTTTGTTTCAGATTGTTGAGCAAATGCATTACAAGAATAACTATAAATATTACAAATGAGACAGAAAATTAAGGTTATTTTCAGATATCATTGTTGACATAGAAAAAAGATTCAAGGAACAACCTACTTAAGAGAAAGTGCTCCCCAGAAACTCCCAGGTAAATTTCACATATTATATTGTTGGCTACATTTGCACCGTATATGCACCTAAGCTCAATTCTGTGCAAACGCTATCGCTGCCAATGGGAACTGGAATTGCTATCACTGGCTAAGACCCATCAACATCCGATTTGGATCCCCTGGCTAGAAGGATACATAAGCAAACGCAGCAAAATCTGTTAGCAAAGCAGAACGTGTCTATGTGTGCAGGGCGCCGCAGGAAAGCAAAGTTAAGAGGTGAGCGCAGCGGTTGGTAAACGTTTGCTGTAAGGAGACAAATGTTACATATTTTCAACTTTCCAGGATTCGGGGTTTCTGTTTCAAAGAAACAGAACTATGCCTCTGCAGCTCGAAAGCAACCTTAGACAATAAACAATCGGATGAGTCGGCTGAACTGCTCTCTGATCTGCAGTAATCCGCTCCCGGATTTAAAACTGTAGATACCCGATTTACAGTTCATACCGGTGCTGCACGGCCTTCAGTTTGAATCACTGAAGCTGCAGGCTCAAGCCAGCGATCAGTCAAGAGTGTTTGGTGTACCAGGGGTTGGCCCTCACAAGGCTTTATGGCCAGTCCCTGGCCTCATACCTCTTTATTAATCTTAAATGTGGACCCGATCCTCCCGCGTGGTGACAATGTTCCAGACCCAGCAACGCTGAGCCTCAAACTGAAGCCAAAACATGAAACACACACCGTTGTGCACCCTAGGAATCACCTCCACTCCTTATGAAGCACATCCCTAGAGGTCCTGAGAGTCAGGGCACTGTCGCTGGTCTCTGCAAACCCTTACACCCCGCCCGGACCCCACAGGGATCCCAACCACAGACCTGCGAGTCACTTACAGTATGGTACCTGCCGAACGCCCCTGCCATCTCCATGGATCCACGCTGCTCCGTTTCCACGGACCGCCCTCATCCTGCACTGAGACAAAAGTAACTTGCAGAAATAAAGCCACACACTGACCTGATTTCTCCCTAGACCCATAAGGATCTAGACGTTGCACTTCCGCGAAAGGCAGGTGTATAATCAGATCCCCTTTCCAAAACTAGAGTCGGCGTACGGCGGCCTAGAAGGGCCTAAATTACTTGAAAGCAGTTTCACAAGACTTCCGGTTACCACCCTATTAGCTAATATGGCTGTGGCCACAAGGGGGCGGCCATGTTTGACTAGTGAGGTCAGGTGTAGATTTCTGAGAATGTAGCCAAGGATGGAGAGGCCAATGAAACTGTCTCATGTGCTGGCCCCTCAACACTTGCAAATACCCGTTAGATTTTCAGAGACTCGAGCTTGCCAAGGTAAATATGAGGTGGCTACATTGAGAACCGAGAGAAGTAGTATTTCCACATATATTTATTATATACTTTGTTTAAAAAAAAAGTTTACCAAGTAGGAGCTCAGACATCTGCAAAGCAGAGTATCACACCTGGAAAGGGAAAAAGTCATATTTGGCAGTGAAATGCTGTCCAAAAACCAATAACAACAGCGAAGACCAAAAACAAACAAACCCTGAAAACTTAACAACATCCAATGTTTAAACTCACTAAATGGTGCCTGTGCAATTTCCAGCCTTCTCACATTCCAATACAAACAAGTCTTGGTATCTCCCAAAAAACATTGACTTCGACCTTTGCAGGGAAACTCCCTAGTGGTTGATCCTCTTCTCCCTAAACCAGACCATTCCACTTTGTGCATGCCATCTAAATCACAAACTTGACCTAGAAACAGCATTCACTGATACTCTTCTTCCTTTTGGTTTTCAATCACCTAGTTGCACAAAGACTGAATATACAGACCCTAAACCTTGATCATGACCCCTCAGTCAATCTGTACAGGTTGTGCATTGTCCATAGACAACCAAAGGCCCTGCCCACTCTTTAGTGACTGGCTCTGACTAAAGCTACATACTGTTTGCATGAGATTTGTATAATTACCTACTGATGTATATTCATGTCAGTGTTTATTGTATTACAAACCTTAAATGTCTAATACAATAAACTTAATGGCTATAGATAATGTCTAATACAATAAACTTAATGGCCTTTACTAATTCTCTCAGTTGTACAAGATGGTGAATTTCTGGGTCTGAGCTTGATTGGCCTGGGCTGGATGGCTGGTGTTTGATCAAATGTCTAGCCCTCAACAGAATGGAAAAGGCCACACTGTGTGGGATATTCATATGTGAATTCCCCTCCATGGGTCAAGCCTGCCCCTTCTTCAAGATCCACTCCTGGAATCATACTTGAAGGATTCTACAGGCTTCTGGATTCCACCAGCCCAAGGGGAGCCCACATTGGAAGCCCATCTGGTTTCAGGCTCCATTATTGCAGCCCATCCCTAGACATTGCCTGGAATGCCAAGAAAGGTACAAGGGTACCTAACACAGTCCCAGAGTGAGGTTCTGAAGTTGCCTCCTGGCTGTGGATGCCTAGGGTAAGATGGCCAGTCACTTCCTACAGTCACTGTGGTGTTGCTGAAGGAAGCCAACATGACAGCAAGGCATTAGGCAGCATTATGAAATGGAAATATCTTTTTTTTTTGGTCTTTTTCCTTTTTATTGGTACTGGGGATCAAACTCACGATTGCCTGCTTGCAAGGCAGGCGCTTAGGCCGCTGAGCTAAATCCCCAGCCCCGAAATGCAAATATCTTGGGGATGCTCCATTGCCTTCTGTGCTTCCTTGAAACAGATGACCATCCACACTACTCAGAGGCCAAAGCAAGGAGAGACAGCCATGCCCAGAGGCCATTGTATGAGAGAACCACGGCAGCTCAGGGACCAGAATTCTGCTATCTGCTACAGAAACCACTCATGGAACTGGAAAGACTTAGGAAAACTGAATGGGTGAGATTTCTAGATTCTCTTGTGTGGATAAAGACACCAACAGCTCAGAATCTTAGGCAGGTATGAGGATGGGGAAAAATGGACAGATCTGCTCTGGGTAGGATATGTGGCCAGTTCTAGGAATGCCGTCCTGTGTTATTACAGCCAGGCTGATCTCTTAGAGGATTACAGATTGTAATGGGTTGTGTAGTAAGTTCAGGGCCAGCCTGATCTAGATAGCAAGACCTTGTATCAAAAGCAAAACCAAAACAAAACAAACAAGAAGTATGAACAGGTTAATTTTAGCAGGGAACCCCAGAATATGGGAGGACAGTACACCTTAGGAGTTAAAGACATACCAGATAACAAAGGGCTACATTCATTTATGGATGTTTCTTGTTCCACAATCAAGTTTTATTCCTACAACTGGGTTACTAAATGAATTGATTGCTAAATGAGGAATCATAAATGGCTTGTACATTACAATGTTTAGAACTAAGAAATTGTCAAAGAAACTCCAACTTGATGACTTTTATTTGTGTCTTACATGAAGTACTGTAGTGTATAACATCATAAAACTATAGTAGTGTACACACAGTAAAACCAGCAAAAATTACAGTGCTGTATAAGCAAGGTGTATGTTACACACACACACACACACACACACACACACACACACACGCATAAAGTCTTTGAACCAGGCACAATGGCACATGCCTGTAATTTCAGCACTTGGAAGGCTGAGGTAGGAGGATTGCCATGAGACTACACTATAAAATGAGACCCTGCCTCAAAAAATAAATAAATAAGAAAGACAGAAAAGAAAATGACATTGAGGCTCTATAAAAAAGATACATAGAACTATTCAAAAACGATGGTTTATAAGTCCAAGTGGCAGACTGTTGATTTGAACAGCCCGCTTCGGTCATAAGTCTGAACAGTCATTAAACAAGTAGGTCATTAACCAAGGAATATCTGTATTTGATAAATATCTTTTGAATGATAGTTATATATATCTGTGCTCATGTCTAAAATATACCGATATAGTCATTTATTCATAGACATTTAGTTTTAGTTGTGAAAAAAAAGAATTAATAGGGAAGAAAATAAATAAAGGATGTAATTAGAGTTTGTGAAGTATGGTTAGAGGAGCAATGGAGATTTAGAAGGCGGAGGAAATCAGGACACAGGTAAAGAAAGAACTGAAGTTCACCAGTAGTTTCCATGGGGAGTGTAGAAAGAGGGTAAATGAAAATGAAGATTCAAAGATTATTCCAAAAATTGCATAGCTTTAGTCACGGATGAGGAAGAGAAGGGAAGGCTTATTGATGAAATAAATATGACTTAAGTCTCGAGTGAAGAGAAAATGGAGTATAAAACATAAAATGTGAAATTTCAGATGATTACTATGCATCCAAGTAAAAACATGAAGAAATTGTCTGGATATAAACATGTTGAAAAACATCATAACTGGTATTAGCACTGTGGATTTCATCCACATACGCACTTATTCTAAGGTTATAAAGTCATATTTAACAACATAGAACAAATGAAGGCATAGGCACAGGACCTAGAATTTATTCTTTCAACACGTAGAGTATTACAATCTGTTAAGCCCACCAAAAGAAACAGAACCATGACTAGGTGTTACATTTGGAGACCTGTACATGGTCCAAACACCCAGAGTGATGAGTGAGGATGTGAGATCCACTTGAAAATTGTGAACACCAGAGGTTAAATATTTTCATCATCACCATCATCCAAAAAGCACCAATCTCAAGTTTTTGGTTGTTTAGAATGCTAGGCATCAAATCTGGAGCCTTAAACATGCATTATACTGATCTATTCCCTCCCTGTACCTCTAACCCCAAGTTAGAAGAAAGATTCTATACTCAAGACTAAAACCAGTGACCTAGCTAGATCACACTCTTCTATATTCCTAGAGAAAGAAGGAATAATGTTGTGCAGTGAAGTATTTTCAGCTTGGGTTATTCCATCCTTGCATATTCCAGAGAAGGGACTGGCCTTGACTAGTTCTTGGAGACAAGCCCTGAGTCCCCAGAATACAAATTTTTATAGCAACACAATTTGTAATAGACAAATCTTGGAGGAAGCACATATGTCCATCAACAGATGAGTGTGCAAAGAATCTTTCCAAGGAGTCACAGCTAAATCCTCATAGTAAATAATCTAAAGAACCCACTGTGGTGGCCTCCTGTGGGTTCCACGGAGAGGCAGAAGACAGGAGACTGGCAGGGGCAGTGTGCTGGGATTCGTTGAAGGAGGGGCATGTTGTCCTCGGCTTTGGGGCAAAAATATCAGTCACTGGAAACTGTGTGGGGAGAAGCTAAATCTGGAGATTGATCACATGTGCAGGAATAAAGCAAGGGTAGCCCTAAGAACATGGAGCATCGAGGTGTGCCACTTGAACAAGTTGTTCTAGCTCTGAATCTTCAAGGAAGCCTGAGGCGAGCCCAGCAAACAGGTTGCTAGGCACAGGGATTTCAATTGACAGTAGCCTCCTGAGTGTATAAATAAACTCACTTCAGCCACTGGGCATCTTTTTCTCTCCTACCAATAGCGGGGCCCCACCTCACATCAGCTTTTGTATCTTGACTCTCATTTTCCTTTGTCCTCCACCATCTTGCCTCCAGGGTTTTAGGAGCTGTACCCTGTGCAGCATTTCTGTGCAAAGATTAAAGGTTAATATCAAATATGAATGAAAACATTCTGAGCTGTGAAAAATAGATGCACAAATACAGATGCACAAATCACAATTTAACCCTAAAAATTTAGCCATATGCAAGCTGATTTCCTCAGTACCAGACTGACTCACTGCTTGGAAGCACAAAGTTTCACAAACTAACATTACAAGGAGTAAAACATAGAGCTTTAATGAAATTACTGAGAAATACTACTCTGCTATTTTGTTATGCACAAAGCACCAAAGGTAATAATATAGTCAGATGGAAGATAAATTACTACTGCTTTCTAGTAACTTACTCAACAATTGTTAATACATGAATTAGTTCAATGCATCAGCAAGTAGGATGATTGGTGAAATATATTAAAACACAAGAGACATAAGTATAATAAATCTAGAGAATCTAAAATCTTGATTACTTTAATGATCATTGAAATCATAGGGAAATGAACATCTACAACTCAGCAGGAGTAAATGATAAGCATGTAAATAATATTACAATTAAACGTGTACAAGGGTTGAGTAG